GTGAATTTAAAAGTAAGAGTGACAGTCAGCGCCATCTATAGGCTAAACGACGAGCGTGAAAACACTGTTATGCGCCTGTTTTGGCGTCACGTAGCACATGAACTTATTATGAGCAGGCAGGTGATTAATTGTCCCTCTTATACAACCTAAACACACCAAATCTGCCAGTACGAGACCATCGTTCAATGAAATAAGGGAAAGAAGTGTATACTTAAGGGCTCGTTTTTCCGTGTTTCAACACAATAATAATGAGATCTAACAGACAGTAATGCCAAGGAATTTACAGGGGAAGCTATTAGAACCAATGGAATGTAAATAAGAAGAAAGAAAAGTGGACAAAAAAATAACCAGCCGTGGGCAGGAATCGAACCTACGACCTTCGAATAACGCGTTCGATGCTTCAACCACTGAGCTACCACAGCGGCCTTCCCTCCATTCACTTTTTTGGGTTTATATGTGAATTTAGAAGTAGGAGTGACAGTCAGCGCCATCTATAAGCCAAACGACGAGCGTGAAAACACTCTTATGCGCCTGTTTTGGCGTCACGTAGCACGTGAACTTATCATGAGCAGGCAGGTGATTAATTGTGCCTCTTATACAACCTAAACACACCAAATCTGCCAGTACGAGACCATCGTTTAATGAAATAAGGGAAAGAATTGTATACCTAAGGGCTCGTTTTTCCGTGTTTTAACAGAATAATAATGAGATCTAACAGACAGTAATGCCAAGGAATGTACAGGAGAAGTTATTAGACTCAATGGAATGTAAATAAGAAGAAAGAAAAGTAGATGAAAAAATAACCAGCCGTGGGCAGGAATCGAACCTACGACCTTCGAATAACGCGTTCGATGCTCCAACCACTGAGCTACCACAGCGGCCTTCCCTCCATCCACTTTTTGGGGTTTATATGTGAATTTAGAAGTAGGAGTGACAGTCAGCGCCATCTACAAGCCAAACGACGAGCGTGAAAACACTGTTATGCGCCTGTTTTGGCGTCACGTAGCACATGAACTAATTATGAGCAGGCAGGTGATTAATTGTCCCTCTTATACAACCTAAACACACCAAATCTGCCAGTACGAGACCATCGTTCAATGAAATAAGGGAAAGAAGTGTGTACCTAAAGGCTCGTTTTTCCGTGTGTTAACACCATATTAATGAGATCTTACAGACAGCAATGCCAAGGAATGTACAGAGGTAGTTATTAGAACCAATGGAATGTAAATAAGAAGAAAGAAAAGTAGATGAAAAAATAACCAGCCGTGGGCAGGAATTGAACCTACGACCTTCCAATAACGCGTTCGTTGCTCCAACCACTGAGCTACCACAGCGGCCTTCCCTCCGTCCACTTTTTTGGGTTTATATATGAATTTAGAAGTAGGAGTTCGATTCCTGCGAAGACACTCATCGTAGCAGAGTGTCTTCGAATGCCCCCGTTCTGCTACTGGTCGGCAAGCGGCTCTTGATCTGGTTAGGCGGTTCTCGGTGCTGGTTGAGTGGCTAAGTACGAGATAGTTTTTATCTTTCGCCGTGTATTTGGTACGTTTTTCATTATTTCGTGCAGGATCATTTTCCTTTTGTTGATCTAGTCTTGAGGCTGTACTGATGCCTTGGAATTCTCCAGGTCAGCATTGTTCACTTCGGCGGCCTCTCTACGGATTGATGATTTAGCTCTTGACTTGTTTCTCCACAGTGGCGTGAGCAACATTTCCATCGCTCTAGTTCCTTTGGGTGGACACTTCATTAAGCTCAATAACTCTAAGGCGACACGATTACATCTCCATGTCGTGACCCCAAACTACCAGAACATAACCGACGTGCGGCAGTTTTATCGCGGTGGCATTGTATATCAAACACCACATCAGCAATGTGTAAAAGATCTCCTTAGGTATTCTTCCTTTGCTTCGATCCCGGTGAGTGCGTATATACTGCAACTTTCTCGCATACACTAAAGGCATTGTGCGTGGGGTTGACGCACAACTAAGCCCTGCAGACACGCTCAAGAAGCTGTCTGTGGCAGGTGTGGCGGCAGTTTACCGGTGCAATCGACTGGTTGACAACAAACGACATCCCACAGAGTCAGTGATTGCGAACTTTTGCAGGTACGTCATGCCCTTCAAAAATTAAAGCATGGCCATTAGTATTTACAGCAGATCAGTTAGCGTCTCGCCCATTGCAATGTCAGAGCTGCTGGAGATTCGGGCATAGCTCTCGTGGCGGCAAATTAGAAGGTTGATGTAGGAGACGTGGTGAACACCACTTAGATTAAGATTGTAAGGCCCAAAATGACTTGTTTTGCTTGTGCGGTGAACACCACGTAGCTAATTTCGCAGAGTTCCCAATGCGCCATGAAGAAGTAGAAATTAAGATATCCTAGCCAAAGAGATGCTCTAGAAAGGAAGCCATTGCAGCTGTTAAGGAGAGAGCCCATGGCTAGCAGGTGTTACAGCACGTCATTCATTTTAGGATGATAATATTGCGCAGGCAGATGAGGTAGCGGTAGAAAGAGCTATCGCTACACTAAAGGACTGATTGGCGGCTACCATCTCCGAATGCGTAGCATAAGTTGTCGGTAATCAAATTACTAAGCTGTTGATCATAAGTGATCTGGGTAATCCTTGAGCCCAATAAAGTACCTGACTGCCAGTGATGCTACTGCAGTATGTAATGATAAGGTGAATATTGTGAATAACATCCAGGCTCCTCAAAGTGCAATGACAAACGTTGTCCACGACCGATTGTTAGACCTAAATGTGTCTAATGAAGTCGAGCTTGATGCTCGGACCCAAAAACGCAGCCGGTCTCCGTTGAACCATGACGTTTCATGTTCCCTTCCGTCTAAACCCAAAAAGACTTCGTGTAGTAAAGTACTAAAAGAAAGTTTTTTGGAAGCAAGTTATCTCCGCAACAATCCCTACACCAAAATTGCGTCCCTGAGAGTTCTGCAGTGGAATTGTTGCTTTCTATTTGCTGCTCTTACTGACTTATATTTCATGTGTGGTAAACTAAATTTATTTATTCTTACTTCAAAAACCTTCGATTGCTCCCGATACTAATCTTCACTTTAAGAATTACCATTTGTTCAGACTAGACCGTCCTACGAGAGGTGACAGAATAGTGACAATGATTTGGGGCAAACTTTACCACAATTCGAAACCGACGTTAAAGCTCCTCTCCCTGGCATACGAAATATTAGTTGTAGGCTTAACTCTCCCGAATGGGAGGTTTTGTCAGTAGTAAATGCTTACTTTTCTTCAGGCGTACATGGCACTCGACACATTAGATACCTCATCTTGTTCAGTCACAATCAGCGACTGAACAAGATGAAACATTAATGTTGTAGCTTGTAAAAGTTAAATCCAGTGCTGAAGAAGTATGACTGCATACGTATGTTGGGCTTCCCCATTTCTGACAAGAAATATAATTATCTTGGGCCCATTGCCACAACCAGCTGCCACACGTATCAGTTTTTACTCCCCATGTAATATGAACGGAGCTGAAGTCACCTGATAGTAAAATATTTCCTTCACACGTGGTCAAAGAGACAGCGTGTATAGTGACCCCAAAGCAGCAAAGTCTCCTTCAGGGCATTTCAAAAAGGCTGGGTAAGAAGGCAAGTAATTCATATTCCGAGAAACGGCAGAAACAATGACAGTGCGACACACAGCATCTTCAGGTTTTCTGCTCACATCGGGGCAATTGAGGGGGTTTCTCTGAACCTTAACAAGTATGCCCACGAGGCTGCGCGTTGCTTTACCGACCGGATCGCCACCATCGGATCGAGCGACTTTCCTCCTGGACACGGGGGCACTCCTAGCACGCACAATAACATAAACAAAATATTTTATATAGAAAGAAGACTCTTCCCGCCACCTCATACAAAGCTAAACAGACTGCAGGCGATTACGCTAAGAATCCTGCAAACCGACTCTTACCCTAATTCTGCGTTCCTTATTAGGATCTATCCTGAAATTCACACAAATAGTTCTTACGTGGTTTGCAGAGAGGAATGCTACTTTCGCCTCACATGCTCTGGGAGTGCGCGTCGCTGGGCCCGATCTTCAATAAGGAAGAGTGGGACACGCTCCTGCGGCCAGGATTTGGTCTTCTAAGACCAAATCCTGGCCAACCAGCGAGCACGTGATCGAGCCGGCCGGCTAGACCTCTCGGTTTGGTCGTGGGATTAGCCAGATGTGCGTTTCATGGTGTTTTCCCGGAACAAATAGAAGTTTATTCACTCACTCACTCACAAGACCCTCGCTTGCTAGTGTGGCTTTTGGTGCCTGCCACAAGCCCTGCACTGTCACCAAAGATTTGTTTTGAAGTGCCAGGGTCGCCACCATGTTGTGAAGCAAACGTCTCTCGTGAATTATATTTTTAACCTTTAGGACCATTTTCGGATAAACACCGCCGGCAGCGCAATGTTGTTCATGTCAAATGCTTATATTGTTGTTACAGATCCACCTTTCTTCTGCCGCCGAATAAGTCGCTCGGACGTTAGCTTTTTCCCTGGGGTAAGGAACTGTACTGGACAGTAATGGGCACAGCGGGGGTGTGGCTTGAAGATGCCACCAAGCTGGTAATAGAGCTATTGTTCTGGTGTGGTTATCAGGACCATGACTGCGTTCGTGATGTGATGCGGTGATAGCGAAAACCCATTTAGCGTATCAGTGTAGCAGCTATCGCTATAAATGTAAGCTCACACAAGATTCACTGTCCACAGGATGAGCTACAATAGTAAGATTGCATGAGCTCGAACGATACTGACAAGAGGGAAAGCAAGAGGTGAAAATGTTTAACGCAGATAGCAACTAAACAACCATACATGTTGCACCCCCTCTCTCAAGAACACATTGCGGTGATCCATGTTTTGCGAAAACCGCCATCAAGACTTCCGCCTACCGGCATTCACTGTATGACTATGTGTACAATACTTCTGAATTTATTTTAGTATGTTAGTTTACCCTGTTTTCTTTTTCTCTTTTTCTTTTGTGCAGCGCTCCTGAACACTTACGAGTGCTGGAACATTGAAGTGTTGATCAGCTGCATCGAGCAACTCTCACTGATGACTGAGAGCTACGAGGCCTCGGAGCAGACAGATCAAGATTTGAAGTACGGCTGTTTTTGTTTGTTTGTTTGTTTGTTTTCATCTTCTAGATAGCTTCATAACTAAAATAACATTGACGTTTGCAGAGCTAGGTCTGCTTACGAAATTCGCACTTTGCTGTTGTTGTTAGGGAATGAACTGCTGTCGTCTCAGTATATCAGCATACCCTAGGATTGACGCCATTGTACTTTATCAATTGTTTGTCACCAACGTTTTTAGGGGCGAAGCTCCTTATAGCGGCACCCATTCATCCCGCGTAGTACGTAACCAGTCTTACGCTTTTACCTGCAAACAATTTGACCTCCAAGGTGGTGCCCGTGAGAAATTCCTTCTGTGCGTTGTTGAACAACAAAAATTAGTGCTCAATGTACATGCCAATAGCTGATAATGGGGTATGAGAGACAGGAGCTTTCGGCTTTTAGTTAACGTGCACGCTGCGATCCCCATTAGCAGCCATTGCATGTACATTGAGCACTATCTGAAGGTAAAGGGTTGCTACGTTATACCCGCTGGGTATAACCACCTTAGTTTTAGAAAGGTTTAGCGAGCGTTGAGCCGCAGTGCCATGAATACAATCAACTAGTATTTAGCATGAATGAACTCGAGGTAGTTAAAGGTGGGAAGTAGGTATGAAGTGCAAGCCGTAAGAAAGTAAAAGCCGAATTCTTCTGTCTCTCATTTCCCATACAGCCATTGGCATGTACATTGAGCTCTATCTGCCAGGAAAAGGTTGCTACGTTATACTCGCTGGGCGTAACCTCCTTGGTTTTAGAAAGGTTTAGCGAGTGTTGGGCCGCAGTGCCATGAATACAGTGAAGTAGTATATACCATGAACTCGAGGTGGTTAAAGGTGGGAAAAAGACCCGAAGCGCAAGCTGGTACAAAGTGTGCGTGTGCCACCTCTCGTTTAGTCCTTGGAATGTCCGCTGGATGGCGGTGTTTCTATATGGGGAATATATGATGAAAAGATGCAAGATGGTGGTACTTGGAGTGTTGAATAGATGGACGAACGGACACACAGACAGATGCCTGAATGGACGCATGAACGGACCCAGGGGCGGATGGACGCATGGACGGTCGCACAGACGGAAGGAAGCAAGAACGAATGGACGGACGAATGCTTCACTCCACTCTACATCATTCACTCCGTGGATATGCTGCCATTTTTTTTACTGTTTAAATAACCTCAAAACTCAAAGAGTGCTATGGTGCACTAAAGCAGAAAATTTTTGGAATAGCCGCAGCACTAATGTGCAGAAAATGAAGTCAAATGAGACCAAGTCACTTGTGGTGCTATGATCGGTAGCCTTTAGTTACTCATCGTTTAAGAGTTGCGTGCGGCTCCACTGAAGTGGTGCACCGGTAGACTTCCCGCTTGCTTTCCACTTAGATGGCCACGGCACGAACCGAGCTTTAAGTGGTGGTTTCGTTTGCTGCAGCTCTATTGATTTGCACTTGTTTCTTAAGTCTAGCTTTCCTTGCGACGTATAGCTACAAAAGTTTACGATAGGTGAAATCTCGTTTAGAGTCTCGTGTTCGCTAAAGTCTTTTGCTGAATCCCGTGCGATAGTGCTGCAAAAAAAGGCGTTTTAGAGTCACTGTATGTGGTCCCTACGACCGCAGAGTTCCGCAGAGGTTCGCAATCTTACCTGGTCAGCAACCATAGTTACGCCACGAAGCCGCGCCCTATTTTTTCGGGCGACTTGCTTAAGCCTGTCGTCGATCGCCACTCGACGTGCCTGGCGTGTCAACGACCCGCGAAGAAAGAAGAAACACCTGCTTGCGGGACTGTATCACGGGAGTTCGAAAGCATTTTTTCGTCTCCTTAGCAGCGCAAAGGCGTAGTGTAGTCCCTAATAACATGCACCACCACTACATGCGCTGGAAGAGGGCAGTGCAATGAACGAGGAGGCTGCACCGCATGTTGGCTTATTCCTCGGTGAGTTACAATGGTGGCAGCGCTGTAGTCGCATGGTACTGAAAATCCCAGGAGCGTCTGCATTGGAGGCGTGTGTACCGTAGCCAGCGGAAGCGTGTAATTGCTCGTTCTAAGTGTGTTCTACGCATTCTTGAGCTTTATTCAGTCTATGCACAACTGCTACGTGTTATGATACACGAGTGAATATGCAGGAACGCCAAAACTGCGTCGAGCCATTCACTGTTTCAAGGGCCTGCGACCAAAAAACATTGTACAATCGAAATTTGCACGGATCAGCCTAGCTTCTCACTAAAGCAGCGCTACATTACAACTAGCTTCTTCCAAACTACAAATAGAGGAGAAGTATTCAATCCACCATTAAATCACGCGGTTTTTTGTTGGCTCTCTCTACGAGATCCGGAGCACAGTTCCTCATATGAGTCCACATGTGCTCGATTGTTTCATGAGAAATCCGAGTATAAGTGACGTTGTCACAACATTTATACTGGTGGTGACTCAATTTTATTATGCCAGTTTTGCAGAACATAATAATGCGTTCTGAAAGGCTTGTGTTGTTTTAACCGCGTGCTCCAGTGCTTCCTGTGCTTCTTTTATCTATGCATGCTCCAAGTGCTGATAATATCAGGAGGCAGCTAGGAAGCCTAGCTGAAGGAACACGTGTACCTCCGAGTCATGAACTCTACGCGATAGTGGTCATCTTAAACATAATTGATTGATTGATATGTGGGGTTTAACGTCCCAAAACCACTATATGAATATGAGAGACGCCGTAGTGGAGGGCTCCGGAAATTTAGACCACCTGGGGTTCTTTAACGTGCACCCAAATCTGAGTACACGGGCCTACAACATTTCCGCCTCCATCGGAAATGCAGCTGCCGCAGCCGGGATTTGAACCCGCGCCCTGCGGGTCAGCAGCCGAGTACCTTAGCCACTAGACCACCGCGGCGGGGCATCTTAAACATCATAAAAAGTGCCAAATATATATGTATATATATATTGAAACGGGTTGTTGAACAAGCAGGCGAACTCGGCGAAGGAGAGCTTTATTTGGCGCAAGGGCTAACTGAACGCAAGCCTGCGATCACAGCAAGTCTTCTTCTTTTTCTATCCTCGAGCTCCATGCCCACTACCCTCGTTACAATCACCCCCGGCCGATGAGGGAGCCATCCTGGCGACCTAAGGACAGGTGTAGACAGAAGGGTCATGGTATGGCTTGAGCCGAGAGATGTGTACGATTTCTTTTCCCCGACGGCGCTTGTCCGGAGATGCATCCAGTGGCTCGACAAAGTAGTTGACAGGGGATGTTTGGCACACAACTCGATAAGGGCCATGGTACCTGGACGAAAGCTTGTGGGAGAGTCCTGGAGTAGTAGAAGGAATCCATAGCCACACCAGTGAGTTCGGAGCAAAGCTCATATCCGTGGTTGACGCGTCGTGGCGATGTTTTTGGCGCGTCTGGTCATGTGACGTGAACGCACGAGCAAGCTTCCGACATTCTTCAGCGTGTGCTGCTGCTCGAGAAACGGTAGTAATCTCTGAAGGGTCCGGTCGATAAGGAAGAATGGTATCCATTGTTGATGATGGCTCGCGTCCATAAAGAAGGAAGAAAGGCGAAAATCCAGTGGTGCTTTGCATTGCAGTGTTGTAAGCATATGTCACAAAAGGGAGTATGCTATCCCAATTTGACTGGTCGGATGAAGCGTACTTGGCCAGCATATCCCCAAGTGTACGATTAAAACGCTCTGTCATCCCATTAGTTTGCGGGTGATAGGCTGTGGTAGTGCGGTGTATGATGCGACACTCGCTCAACAACGCTTTGATGGCATCGGAGAGAAAAACGCGGCCACGGTCGCTTAGTAACTCCCGAGGTGCTCCATGCCTTAAAACCAGGTTTTGCAGTATAAAACACGCAACGTCTTTTGCGGTAGCAGAAGGTAACGCAGCTGTTTCAGCGTACCGCGTTAGGTGGTCGATAGGGACAATGACCCAGCGGTTGCTACTCGAAGTATAGGGAAGCGGACCGTAAAGGTCGATTCCGACACGATCGAAAGCTCGTGCTGGACATGGCAATGGCTGCAAGGGACCTGTGGCATGTTGAGTGGGCATTTTGCGTCGCTGGCACGTAAGGCAAGACCTTACGTAACGGCGAACGAAACGGTACATACCGCGCCAGTAGTACCGCAGCTGCAAGCGGGTGTATGTTTTTAACACACCAGCGTGGCCACATTGCGGATCATCGTGGAACGTGGCACAGATGTCAGAGCGCAGATGTCGGGGGATCACGAGCAACCACTTACGGCCGATCGAGCTGTAGTTTCGGCGGTAAAGCAGGTTATCCCGAATAGCGAAGTGTCCTGCTTGACGGCGAAGCGTCCTGGAAACTGGAGCGGGCGTCCGGTTTGAGAGAAAGTCCAAAAGAGATGAAATCCAAGCATCTTTGCGTTGCTCGGAAGGCATGTCCGAGATGCTGATGGCCAAGGCAGCACTAGTGGAGATAGGCGAGCCGACAGGCTCTGAAGCCAATGGCGAACGTGACAGGGCATCGGCGTCGGAATGCTTCCGGCCAGAACGGTAGATAACACGGATATCGAACTCCTGTAACCGCAATGCCCAACGAGCGAGCCGACCATTAGGATCTTTTAGTGAAGATAACCAGCAAAGCGCATGGTGGTCTGTTACAATATCAAACGGACGTCCATATAAATAAGGCCGAAATTTTCCGATTGCCCAAATAATGGCGAGGCACTCCTTTTCAGTTACACTGTAATTCTTCTCGGCTTTACTGAGGGTGCGGCTGGCATAGGCAACGACGTACTCGTCAAAGCCCTCCTTGCGTTGGGCCAGTATGGCCCCTAGCCCGACACCACTAGCGTCCGTATGAAGCTCCGTTGGAGCAGACGGATCGAAATGTCGGAGTATGGGAGGCGTGGTGAGGAGCCGTCGGAGTTCCTGAAATGCATCATCACACGCCTGCGACCACGCTGACAAATCAGAACTTCCGGCAAGAAGATTGGTCAAGGGGGCGATAATGGAGGCGAAATTGCGGACATAGCGCCGGAAGTAAGA